GGCGAAGTATGATATGGCCTCCTTCGTGATTTAAGACTAGTCGCCGCTGGGTCCATAGATCACGCCAAATCGGCTTCTTCATCATCGACGCTGATGCACATAGTCGTATTTACTCTTAATCGCTATGCTCAAGTCGGACGGTCACAAACACTCGTCTCCTCTCCAGTCTACACACACATGCACTTGACTCACTTACGAATCCATATATGATATCTTGCTGCAAAGGGTATTGTCGCATTGGGGTGACCGTTCAAAGTCGTCACTCATTATGTTATCAACTCACATCTATCTTACCATCTTACCAACACATATCTACCCACCAAACACACTTCTCTTGAAATGCGCATCTACAACCTCTCCTTCTGGAGACCCTTCCAGCCCCACTCTTGCGCAATCAGCTCGGCAGCGCGCTCACCGATACCGAGCACAGTCAACATGGGGTTGATGGTGGGCATCTCGGGGAAACATCCCGCATCCGCAATCCTGACGCTCTTGAGACCGCGAATCTTCAACTCGGGGTCCACAACAGCCATGTCGTCCTTTGTTACATCACCCATCTTGGTTGTGCCAGCGGGGTGGTATACAGTGTGTGCGACGCGGCGACCGTACTCGGACAGCTCTTCGTCGGTGACGACCTTCGGGCCTGGGGCGACTTCGCGCTTGATCCAGTTGGAGAAAGGTGCTTGCTTGGCGATTTCGCGGGCAGCCTTGAGACCAGCGACGATGGTAGCTGCGTCGTAGCCTTCGGGGTCGGTGAAGTAGCGGAAGTCGAGCGCGGGTTTGACGGTGGGGTCGGCGGAGGTGAGGTAGATGCGGCCGCGGGAGCGGGGACGGGGGATGTTGGGCGTCATGCAGAATGCGTCGATGGGGGAGTCGTAACCCATGCTGGTGATCATGTTAGTTGCAGCGCGGAAATGTGGGGTTGTTGGGCTTACCGAGCGGTGTTCAGGCAGAATGGGATTTGGTAGCAATGAGCCATGATGTCGGCAATGTCACCGTCACCACCTGCAGCGTTGGGAATCTCGCGGCGCAGGAAGATACCAGCGTCAGAGTCCATGGTGGTCTGGTTTGCGGGTACGGGCTTGTTGAGTTCCCAGAGGATGATGCTCTCGGGGTGATCTAGCAAGTTCTCACCAACACCGGGGATGTCTTTTACGACAGGGATGCCGAGGTCAGATAGTTGTTGCTTGGGACCAAGACCGGAGAGGAGCATCAGTCGCGGGGTATCGACGGCGCCCGCGCAGAGGATGGTCTCGCACTTGGGGTTGAGGGTGAACTTCTCGCCGCTTTGGAGCGCGAGGTCGATGCCGGTAACCTTGTCGCCCTTGACGTTGACCTTGCTGACCCACGCGTTGGTGAGAACAGTCAAGTTGTCGCGCTTCTCCTCGCCGCGGAGGATGGGGTGGATGTAGGCGACACTAGCGCTGCTCCGGCGGCCATCGTCGGGGTTGTATGATACGGAGAAGAAACCGACGGAGGGCTTGAGGGCACCCTTGGTCTTGATTTCGTGGTTGAAGTCGTGGATCACGGGAATGTCCATGGCGGTTGAGCACGAGTCGATCCAGTCGAGGCAGAGCTGGTTGCGGTGCTTCTCATGGACAGGCTGGACGGTGTTGCGCAGGTTGTCAAGCACGCGCATGAAGGTCTTGAAGCTCCAGCCCTTGCAGCCCTGGGCTTCCCATCGCTTGCAGTCGTACTCAAACGGCCTGAAGGAGATGAGGGTGTTGTGTGATGAGCAGCCACCGAGGACCTTTGCACGTGAGTGTCGGATGTGGGAGTTGCCATTGGGCTGTTCGGTGGTGCCGTAGTCGTAGTCGAGCTCTCCTCCGAGAAGGTTGAGCCAGTCCTTGAGCAGCAGCACACGGTCGTCCATGAAGTCGCTTGGGCCGGCCTCAATCAAGAGGACCTTCTTGTTGGGGAGATATTCGGTGAGTCGCGAGGCGATGACACAGCCCGCTGTGCCTCCTCCGACTATGACAAAGTTATACTCGGCATCCTTGGGGATGGAGGTCACGGTCTCGAAAGCCATTGTTGCGTGTGGGTGGTGAGCTTTGGGTGGGTGATGGCGAGAATATACTTCTGCTAAAGAGAGCTTTTCACGTCCGGAGCAAGCTTATATATCCAGGCGGACTATCGCTCGAAGGAGACGATGTTGTCTAGATGGGCCGGGCGTCGCGATCGGGCGGTCGGCAGAAGGTCGGAGCAGCAAAGTGAGCTGACGATGAGGCTGGGGAATGGAGAGTCGTGCGCCGCTGCAAGATGTGTCGTTCGCCTTCCAGATAAGACTGTGCTAAATAGGGCCGTTTACGGTTGGACCGGACGCGTGCACGTGCTCACCCAACGCCTCAGGATGAGCGATGTTGCGACGGGTGCGAGGAAGGAGAGGCGATGGGCCGAAGTGATGGCAAATAACACGCTGCAGAGAGGGAGTAAGTGTGATTGATCAATTGCGTCCGACAACGACTATAATGGTGCTGGCGACGACGTGGATATGTCACCCATGGTTGCCAGCGAAAGAAAAAAAGACGTCGTAAAAGCGTCCGATGATGTGATGGGCGCGTTGGGACTAGCGCGACCCCGCTGGGCTGCAGCTTCCGAGCTGGTCATCCCTGTCGGTCGATGCCGCACCTTCCCCGATCTCCGGGCGGTGAGGGCGGCAGCCATCGGAGCGACGTTTTTGTGCCAGACAGCAGCAGCGACAGGAAACAACGCCATCCCGCTGAAAAGCGAGCGCTGCTGCTTTCTCTATCTTGCTCGCACCCCTTGCATATCCCTCAGCTGACGTATCCCTCGGCGACGTTCCGAAGGATTACTGATCGTGAAAGGAAGTAGAGGCGCAACAGCTGCATCCGCTATCGCCCATACAAATGTTCGTTCACGTTACATCACCGCGCCAATCTTGACCACTTGGCTGACACGCGCAGATCAAACTGTGCATAAAGATTTCCCCGGTACATTTCGCTCATCGTGACCATCGTGGCGACCAAACTCTTGCGACTCCGCGTCAACACCAGAAGCAACCTTAGGCTTTTCCATTGCGCCAACAAGCCACCCACCATGTCTCTCCCATATGCGCCCCGATCCGCCTACTACGACGGCAAGCTTCAATCAGGCTCATCCACTTCCACCTTCCAGACGATTGACCCCGCGACCGCCCAACCCGTCGCAAACATCCACACAACCTCCAACGCTGGCATTGACGCTGCGATAGCCTCGGCGCAACGGGCCTTCCCCGCATGGTCCGCGACACCACCCATCGAGCGCGCGCGCATTCTTCAACGAGCGGCTGCCCTGCTCCGCGCACGCAATGACGAGCTCGCCCGCATCGAGACCAGCGACACCGGCAAGCCCTTCTCCGAGACCTCGACGGTAGACGTAGTCACCGGCGCCGATGTCCTCGAATACTTTGCGAACCTCGTAGGCGGAGGTGGCATGAACGGCGAGACCGCACAATTGCGACCAGACGCATGGGTGTACACAACTAAGAACTCGCTGGGCGTATGTGCGGGCATCGGCGCGTGGAACTACCCCATTCAGATCGCGCTGTGGAAGTCTGCGCCCTGTCTGGCAGCCGGCAACTGCATGGTCTACAAGCCTTCAGAGTTCACACCACTGCACTCTACCGTACTAGCGGACATTTACGCTGAAGCTGGAGTACCGCCGGGTGTGTTCAACGTCGTCCAGGGCGGCGGTGAAGTCGGCGCATACCTGACCAAGCACTCCGGCATCGCCAAGGTCAGCTTCACCGGACAGGTCTCGACAGGCAAGAAGGTCGCAGGCAGCGCATCCGGCGAGATGAAGTACGTGACAATGGAGTTGGGCGGCAAGTCGGCATGCGTTATCCTCCCAGACGCGGACGTGGACCAGGCAGTTGACGGCGCAATGCTAGCCAACTTCTTCTCAACAGGACAGGTCTGCACCAACGGCACACGAGTCTTCATCCCTGAAGCAATGAGATCGGAATTCGAGAAGCGATTACTGGAGAAGATGCAATACATTCGCCCAGGCAACCTCCACGACATGGCCACCAACTTCGGCCCGCTGGTATCGAAGCCGCACTACGAGAAGGTCATACAGTATATCAAGCACGGCCGCGACAACGACAAGGCGAAGATGCTATGCGGAGGCCCTGAAACCCCATCATGGGTCTCATCGCACAGCGACAAAGCGTACCAGAACGGCTACTGGGTCCAACCCACCGTCTTCACAAACTGCACCGACGACATGAAGATCGTGCGCGAAGAAATCTTCGGCCCCGTCATGTCCATTCTCACATACAAGACCGTCGAGGAAGTCGTCCAACGCGCCAACAACACCGATGTCGGTCTTGCGGCGGGTGTCTTCACCAAGGACCTCAACCTCGCACACAAGGTCATCGCTCAGCTCGAAGCGGGTATTACATGGGTGAACACCTGGGGTGAGAGCCCGGCTGAGATGAGCGTCGGTGGCTGGAAACAGAGCGGTGTTGGTGTGGAGAATGGCAAGAAGGGTCTTGAGGCTTGGGTCAGGAACAAAAGTACGCTTGTTGAGATGGGTGGGGCTGTGCCGACTGTGTTTGCGAAGTTGTAGAGAAGGTGGTGTGAGAGGGTGTATACAGGGGATGTATATAGGTGATACCAATCCAAATTTAATGCCTTAATTCGGAGAAGCTCGGGTTGAAGTTCTTGTGTCCGTACGAATGGGTTCAGTTTGCTGAACTAATGATGATGGCTTCCGTGAGATAGGCCGCTGATATGTCTCTACCTTGGCTTGCATGGTGTTTACCACGTATACAACAAAGGCGCACCCTTCTTCGTTTTTGAACGGCGACAGCTCCATGAGCCCGTTGAAGTCACATGTGCTACGCCATCACAGAATAGGGTATAAGCGATAATCTCATAGTCTCATATCTTGTACGACCAAGGTAAGATACATAGAGCCTTCGTGGACACCAAGAGCTAGGCATCGCCTTCTCTCTTCCCTCTCGATCCCCACCCACCATTCCCCAGAAGATCACAAACATGGCAAACACAAACCTAACCCGCCGATTCCTTATCGAACTCAACGGTCAATTCCTCAGTAAACTATCTGATACCGAGACCGCCAATCTCGTGGCCAAGCGAGAGGAAAGGCACCCGGCTACTATGGGAGACCGCGACCAAGCGGCAATCTTCACGCTACAGAATGGACTCTTGCTCTGTAGCTCCGGTGTAACTTTGCTCGTTCTAGGCCGTTGGATGCTCGAGGAAGATAAGTTTGAGCCTATGCCTTTGTACTGGGCTGAGCAGTTTGATAAGGTGAAGTCTGTTCAGTATACGGGGGAGGGGGAGGACGTGCAGCTTGGGTCTTTTGGTATGTTGGCGGTGCTGAGCATATGGTGAGATGGCCTTCTGGCTGACTTTGGTGTAGAGTTCCCGCTTGGTGCACTACTTGACGAGGATAGTCAGACGCGGTTGTACGCCTGTCCTCCTACGATGATTATTGGTAAGTAACCCTTCGTTAGAGAATTGGTTTATGGCTGTTGACTAATTTGGGCAGGACCTGGGACGACGCTGCATCGGCTAGAGACGAAGGGGTAGTGGCTGCGAGATGGTGTTTGGGTGCCACGCTGGATTCGTGCATGCTGGGGCTGAAATGGGTTGAGGATTCAATCCTTTCGGTACTCAGGCTGTTGTTTAGTTCTCCTCTCCGTAAAGCCTTGAATCGGGCAAGGAATCCTGGTCTTGTTCGTGTGTAGAGCTAGTTGAGCTGGATGGTCGCACAACTTGCGCCTTTCTTTCGCACTGGGATCAGCTGGAATAGCTGACGCATGAAGATGTGCATTGGGAGATCGTTTACGTTATGGGATGAACTAAATCATGAAGATGTCGTTGTGCAATATCCGCTGATACAGGTTTGGGCGCAAGAATAAAGGAAAGAGCATCCACGGATGATGCAATTCGAGAAGCGATAGAGCAGGATAACCCGAACGCCGGGGTCGTCGCGATAACGCACATGCATCACGTAACTTCTACTGCCTTCAACTTCACAGCTCTTCGATCTCGCAGCTGGCTAGCAATCGTGTCACTCCCGGAGATCTCGTGGTATTGATTACCAGGGCTTGTTCGGTCGAGCCCGTCATCTCCATGAGCTTCAAGCATGGCGCCTTGGTCACGACTCCGTTCACGACAGACAGCATCAGCCACCAGTTTATCGCAGCTTGACCCGAACACATGCGCATATGCGTTTTACTAGAGAGCGTAACTATTCGTATGTGTTGCTCTACTGCTGGTACCTAGGTGTATTCGGGTATGACGACTGCTTTTCGCGGTCGGGTAACGCACGATGCCTGAGTGGAGACATACGGCCAATATAACGAATGAGGGTATTTATTGTAGCATAACTAGTTGTCGGGCAGAGGCAGGAGGTATTCGACCCACAATCGGCGCGGCAGAAGGCAAAGCGAAGAGCGGTAGGTAATCGGCGTTGTATTCTTGTCTGAAGATGCTGCCCTTTCTCCCGAAAGGGGTTCGGAGTACTTATTTTCCCCCTAATCATGTGACCGATTACTACACCACAGTGGTTAATCTGCGCGTGGAGATGAGCGACTTGTTCGGGGTAATTTTAGACCCTTTCTTGAGTTCCTATCCTTATTCGCTAGGGCAACGCTTCCGACGGCCCCACGTAAGAGCTCGTACCACAGCACGTGTTGCACCTAATAACCACCTTCGCGGTTATCAACACCACCACCAGATTACCTCAGTCTGCTAGTTTGTTGTCTATCTCTCCCAAGATGGCGCGCGATATGCCTGATGCCCAGGCGATTCTTGCGCATCAGATCACGCCAGCGCTGATACTCAACCGCTCCGGCACCGTCGTCGCTGCAAACGAAGGCAGCGTCCGACTCCTGTCGCCCTTGCGACAAGACGCGTCTTTTGCCACAGAAGGCTCGTTGCTTGGCGAAAATATTGCCGATCTTGCACAGATTCCATTGCCTGGTGCTTTACCAGTTCTGTGGACCTGGAGTTCTATTCTAGCTGCTGCCATCGATATTAGCGAATCAGGTGCTGCCAATAGACAAAGTATCCGCGGATACGTTTCTACGACAGATTACTGTCAAAACGCCGATAACTTTTGGGACGATGAAGCTGAGCAACAAGCAATCATCGAAAGCAATGTATACGTTACCCGGTATTCCTCACAAGCGGGCATACCTAGCGCCAACGACTCCGATGACGCTACCAGTGTAGTCAGAGCCCGAGCATCTGTTCACTGGTTATCGTCCGATCTTGACGGCGTCTTCTTGATCACCTTCAACCGGACGTCCTTGCCACATCAAACAGCGCCGGCTTCACCAGCTGCAAAGAAAGACCCAATCAATGCTTTCGAACGACAAAATGATTATCATTCCTTGGATAGCAATGATACCTCAGACAAAACTGATACATCGGACGTCGCCTACGCTATCATTCCTCACATTATCGCAACAATGGACAAAGATGGGCAAGTTGTCAAATTATCCAAGTCTTGGTATTCGTTCTCAGGGTTGAATGAAGAACAGAGTTTAGGAAGCGGATGGATATCCACAATGTTTCCCGATGATGTCCAGGAAATGACATCGGCCTGGGCTGATGTTATCCAGCATGAACGCTCGCATTGGACGCATCAAGCTCGTTACCGGAGGGCCTCAGACGGAACCTTCTGCTGGTTTTTGATACGCGCCGAACCATATCGAGATGCCAAAGGAAAGGTCCTTCGCTGGTACGTGTCCATGATGGACATTCACGAATGGGTCGTTGCTCGGCTTAAGGCAGACATACGACGGCAGTCAATCATCACACTTTTCGCGCAAACGGATGTTATGTTGTGGGGAATCGACAAGACCAATCAAATGTATATATGCGAGGGGCGCTTAAAGTGGGACCCTAGTAGGGTCGTAAAACTTTTGGAAAGTACCAGAGGAGAACAAGATATACCGTACATTGAATCACCGGAAGAGACATATCGCAACCCAGACCAAGAATTGGTTCATACTATCCAAGGAGTTCTCAAGGGACGCACCTTCAGTCCGATCGTGGAACATTGGGAAGATGATCGTTATTTCCGGACTCGTTTTGTTGCAGAACATGTCCCTCCATGCGTGGATGGGAGCGCAACAAGTGAGGATGTTGTGCAGGCTGCACTAGCTCTCACATTTGACATCACCGAAGAAAAGGCGCGGTCTGTCCTACTGACGGAGAACAAGAGACTCGTCGCCAAAGAGAAAGCCGCGCTCGATGCCAGCAATTTGAAGAGTAGATTTCTCGCAAATGTAGGTCACGCTCTGAACGAATCCGCGACTCAAGCTGATGATTACCTAGATGTCTCACGAAATCCGTACTCCAATATCCGGAATCATTGGTCTGAGTGAGCACCTTTCTGATTGTGGGCTCAATGAAGAACAATTGGAATTCAGCAACTCCATTGAAGAGAGCGCAAAATTTCTCCTCACTCTCATCAACGATGTGCTGGACTTCAGCAAGATGGAATCTGGTCACATGGATATTGAGCAAATACCCTTCTCGCCTTACAAGCTCATTAGCGACACACTTATCCCATTGCGACTTCAGGCAAGGGAACGAGGCCTGTCTCTGAACTTTAGGTGCGATCTCAAGCCTGATGCACTCTTCCTGGGAGATCCCTGGAGGTTGCGCCAGATTCTCACCAACTTGATTGGAAATAGTCTCAAGTTCACACAGGAGGGTCACATTGCACTTAGCGTTCACGAGGCCGGAAAGAAGGACAACCAAGTTATCCTCAAATTCGTTGTGAAGGACAGCGGAGTAGGCATTTCGGAAGAAGCGATCAAACAACTCTTCAAACCGTTCAGCCAGGCCGATGGCTCAACAGCAAGACTCTATGGCGGCACTGGGCTGGGCTTGGCAATTTGCCGACAATTAGTTGAGCTTATGGGTGGGCACATCGGGCTGGAATCCGTTCATGCAGAAAGCACCACCGCAACTTGCAAGATCCCTTTCCAGATCTACCATGGGCCAAGTCATGGTCTACTCATATCGACCGCTTTACCTGGCCGGGCAAAGATACAGAATCCTGAAGAGAACGCGAACACCAAGAAGGCTCGCCACCTCAGTCCTCCCGATGGTACGGACGGCTTGACGTTCGACTCCTTCGCAATCACGAACACACCAGGGATCGGCAACCACATCTTACTCGTGGAGGACAATCCCATCAACCGGAAAGTGATCTCCATCGCATTGAAAAAGCTAGGCTTTGTCGTCTCAGCCGTATGGAACGGCCAAGAGGCACTCGATTTCCTTTGCAAGGAGTCGACAGAACTTCGGCCCGATGCCATACTAATGGACTGCATGATGCCAATTGTCGACGGATATGAGGCCACGCGGCGCATCCGCAACGACAAGACTTTGTTCAACGAGCAAGTACGGGAGCTGCCGATCATTGCGTTGACCGCTAGCGCAATCAAGGGCGATAGAGAGAGGTGTTGGGATGCAGGTATGGACGACTATCTAACGAAGCCGGCTGCTAGAGATGAGCTGAGACGCACACTGGCAAGATGGTTAGTTACGCCAAGAATACGAGGGCTTGATCGGAGCAGACTAGTAGACTGAAGCTTAGTCGTGTAAGTTTAGCTATGATGCTCTTACGTAAGCGAAGCAACAAAGTATTAAATTATTACTATTTATTCATAACACGTAGTTTATTCAGATATCTTTTTGTAGAAGCTTATAATGTTCCTTAACTTACTATACATATTATTTAACATCTTAAAGATAGCTCTACTTTAATCTTCAACCCCAATGTTCTTTAACCCTCCCTGCCTTGTCCAAAAGATCTTCTAAGCATTCGGTCACCGTTCTTCTTTTAGCCCACGAAGCCATTCCGTCACGGTGATTTCCGTTTCCCCATACCGTATAATGCTATCCTTGACGCCCTTCCAAAAGCTGGGATCTTTTAGCTGCACAACTCATGGCATAATAAGAAATGTAAGGACAACTCCACGGAACACTTAAGAGCAGTGTAACATCCCTGGCCTTCCGTTCCTTCCCAGCGACCCCCTCAGCACACCAACATGTCAAACGAAAGCCTAAGCCAAAGCTTCCTGGTCGAAGTGGACTGTAAATTCGTCACTGCACCATCGTCTGCTCGTGAGCTCGAAGATCGCGATAAGAAGCTGGCGGTCGCCTTGGGGGGTCGTAACGATGCCGCGCTAATTAACCTCTTCGGCGGCTTCTTGTGTACTGGTTCTAAACCTAACGTCCTCTTTTTGGGTCGTCTGATAGATGAGTCGCGCAATTCGAAGCCTTCCGATCTGTACTGGACTTCACGGTCCGATATACTGCAGCCGTATCAACCGGGAGGAACCACGAATCCTCTTACGATGTTTTCGGACGGTTAGTTACACTATAGCTACGTCAAAAACAGCTCTCCGCTTCCTTTTGAGAGTGCTTGATTAACTTCTGCGCAGGACCTCGCCTGAGTGGGAGTTCGGGACATGATGGAATGAAGCTAATTCCTTCATTGTTGGACGTTGGTAAGACAGATGCTATTACTCAAGGTTATCTAAATGTTCGATTGATATGGTTGTGCTGACAATAGTAGGACGCGCACCGGCAGTACTCTGTCCCCCGGGCTTTCGAATGGAAGGTGATACGGCCGTAAGAATCGAGCCCAAATAATAAAGCATGGCCTATAACTATTGTGGTGTCAGATTAAGGATGAGCAAGGAAAAAGCGATAGTAGTCGCTGGGCTAGAAGCCAAAAATGTTAGGGATTGTGACCGAGCTCACGATGAATGATGAACGCAAGCAGTGATACATCCCCGTTGCGCAACAAGTGTTCGTTCTCTGTGACATGTGCGGTAACGGTGGGCGCGCACGAACAAAGGAAAGGGCTCGCAGCTTAGGAAGCGGGGTGCGCCGCGCATTTGCATCACGCGACGACTTCAGCGTCTTCTAACTCGATCGCTTGTGGGATACGCACATACCACCAGTTTATCGCGGCCCAACCCGAGCATGTGCGCAGATGTGCTTGTCGTGGCTTTAGTCCATTCCGAGCTAACCATCTCGATAGCTCTAACATATACCGAGTCGACGACGCACACGGCGCCTTTGTACCTGCGTACCGCAGGCACTAGGCTTCTTTAAATACCACAATGCTTTGTGGATATGTGGAAAGGTAGTACTATTTCCAAATCCGCGACAAGTCTTGGTATGCACTGTTACTACACCAAGACTTATGTACCTATCGGCGGAGTAGAACGGCTAAGAGCAGTCAAGTGACGTGTGAGACTTTCCAGACTGGCAGATTTCCCGCAGCACAGGGCGCATCATATAGAGCAACAAATTTAACATCGAGCAACAGTACGAGCGGCCAAAGTGTGAGTAAAAGAAAGACTTAAGACTGCTCTTGTAACGTCCCGAATTCCAGCTTCCAGGCCTTGTCGAACCCTTCCACTGCGGATCTATTACAGCCTCGTAAAAATTGTCACAATATGCGCAAGTCCGACCTTCCTAACGCATTCATTATTGAAGTCAACGGCCGCTTCATCGCCGACCGTCCTGAGCCCGACCGTGAGGACACCGACGGCAATGTAAAGAGTGCAACCCCAGCGCACATGGGCGAGCTGAAGAATGCCGCGGTCTCCAAGTTGGTAGGCGGTCGCCTGGTCAGTCGAGAGTGGATTATGGCCGTTGTTGAGGGCGGATACGGCGATGACTATTCACCCAAGGGCCTGTGGTGGATCGACGGCCATGACGGATACGGACAGACCCCAAGGTTTGAATATGCGCGCGAGAAGCATCAGGACGTGTTATACTGCGGCACTCGTACGTACTTGTATTGCTCGCTCAAACCGCGTCTCGCGCTAACTGGTTGCAGATGACCTCATGCTTGCTTTGCCCACCGATAATGAGGTTTGGATGCATATTCAGCTTCCTCATTCTTCTGCAGGTACGTATAATACGTTGCGAACTTCGTTGCGACAGTTCCGGAGCTGAAGTTACTAGTTGGGATGATGAAGATGCACTGGCAGAAAGTATAATTAGATTGTTGTGCGTGGAGTTCGCGTAACGATGACAAGTCATGTAGAGCTTGCTGCGCAGTTCGAGTGTCGTGTCACTGAAGAACGACTTCTAAAGCCGCGGGATAGAAACATGATGATGAGTCGGCGTCTGCGTTTTCGGATCGATATGCGTTGCATGTATCCTTGTTCCTTCATGCCGTTTTTTGCTCGACTAGCCTAAAAGGAAAGTGGTCATAACACCATGCCTTAGCCAGTACCTACCATCGCCGTGTTCAGGTGAACGTAGCCGACTTCGCGGATGCATGCATCCTTGTTTGTCTTGGGCGAATCCATGTACACTTCTGTCATCATTCCAAGTAAAACACCCGATACGCTCGTAATGGTCTCCGTATTGACGCAAAATCATTATCTGCAGTTGCTCCTCAAATCTTATGTCCTGCTCCATGAACATGCGATGATCAGGCTCCAAAACCACAACACAAGGTAGTTCAATCCTTCCATCAACCGAAGCCGGTTTGATCGCTTGATTATTATCCCAGAATGGGAGGATAAAGACATCGAGCGTTGGACTATAGGGCACCTTAACGTAAAGTCCAGCAGGACGGCGTTCAAGTTGGATGAACTCAAGCTTCACTACCAAAGTCGTTAGTTTCAAGAACTTGGAGTTGTCTGCCCCATGCATGTAGTGTTGTAAGCGCAATTTTCCGACATTTTGGGAGATCGCAGCATGACTGCCGTCGAGCCAGACTTCCACTGAACAGGTATGTGAGAGGCTAGGACGTCCGTCGCGATAATGCACCTGCCCACACCAACCAATAGGTGACCAACTAGGAAATTCCTTGCGTCGAGTAGCAGGTGAGGAATGTGTCCAATGTAGGAAAAAGAATGTGCTGGAGTCTTCTATGGCAATATTCACACCCCAGATGTGATCAGCATTCTGCGCTTCGAGAGCGCCAATGATAGCGTTGAGCGCATCATGATCGTTTGTTAGATGACGTCCCGTGTAATCGTACATCATCTGCTCCATGTCCCAAAGATCTGGCGTCGTGGCTGTGTTCCGCAGTGAAGCAAAGATCGCGTGAAAGTCTTCCTCATTCTGGCGATAATTATCGCACAAATACAACACGCAGTAATGTGTGAAGTACATTCGCCGTCTTGACAAATATCCTTCCTGATACGTCCAGCCTCTCGTGTACCAGACAGACTTCAGCACGGATTCAACGATACGCCTCCGGAAATGTCCGCTAGAGTCATGCTCAAGTTGTGAGTAAGACAAAGGATTCTTGTAGTCACAGGTTACTCCTGGGAGCCCGTAATTTGCGTCTGCTCCAGCGGTCGCAATGATAGTCACTTGTGCTCCTGAATAGATATTTCCCATCTGATTAATCTGGTGTCGCTGGGCTGCACCATCGTTCTGGTCGATACACTGTCTTGATCAGCGATTGTATAAAGCGTGATACTATGAATCATACATGTCTGTCAATCCATAGGTACCGATAACCGAGCCTTATCGTAGCCTCGATGCTGTCCTCAACGGTACGAGGGAGTTTGTCCGGTAGCCGAGGAAATTGTGGAGTATCTTCCGCTGTGTGCTTGCCCCAAACATACGAGAGTGCGACGTATGCGCAATCTTTTGGAGCTGCAACGATGACTCTGTTATGACAATCCAGCACTCTCAGATCTATCAACGCGGTCCGTGCTGGGGTTTTGCATTCGGTGTGCGTCGAGATGCAATCACGTATCCAAAGCTTCGACTCCTCAAAGTTGACGCGCTTTTCATGGCCCTCGGGCAGGATGATACATGCTCTGGGATCTTCGTTATCTAGAGCATCCCATACACCGCCGCGTCTCATGTTCGGGGCGCGCATGATCCTGAGTCCGTTCGATTGCTTTGGACCAGACATGGTTTCAATCATCAGTATGGAGAGCGGCGATTAAATCTGAAAGCGTAGGCTGCTCCTCCGTTTCATCGTTGCCTCTTGTCCGATAGTTGAGAAATGTGGAGAGAAGCAACAGGCTTGCGCCCACCTGCAAGCACGATATTCCCAGGCGCTGTTGCCTAGCGCTAGTATTGAAGCGACATGGGCGAAGCGACAACGGCTGAGCCTCTCAAGGTCACGAACGGAGACTGCTATCCGTGCTACAGTATACGCGCAATCTGCCTAAGATAATTAGCTCCTAACACCTAGGTACAATCTTCGCGCAATTTCTACACGGAGTACTGACCCGTCTTTGACCAGGCCGGCTTGTGCACTGCTACAATATTGTGGTTACCTGGCGGCATCTGCTCAGCCACGAAGCGTCTGCATTCGCCCTACGCCCCGCACCCGACGTGGTTACGCAATAATTTTGATCCGCTACTTGCGATAAGGAACTCCGTTGCGCATCCTGCCAAAATGATCAATCGACAACAATGGCGACTCTTCGGCTGTACGAGCCCATGTGTGAGAAGGGGGAAAGCTGCGACGGAGACACGGAGGGCTGCTTGCCCGGGCCCGATGAGCTACCTAGGTAGGCGCGGGTGGCGGCATCGTCGTTATCACAACGGGCAAACCTCGCTAACTGACACCACCCTGTCTCGCGGCGCAATCCTGCTGGAAGGGGTGTCAGTTAAGGCGACCACCCCAAGAAGGGCGCCTAAGATGTCATGGTGTCGCTATCGAATCTCCCGGGCCAGCAGTGCGACAAGCATGTGCACCCATACGCGCTGCGATCTTTCGACGTTCGCACATCCAGTGCCAGATTCCTGGCGTATCTTTGCTTTGGACGAACTCGAAATGACGTAGAGTCTTGTGACGCGACGCCTACACACAATCTCCATTATGCTTACAGGCTCACACCGCGTCTTACCCAGTGTCAGGTCTTTCGCCACCGGGCGCACCCTTCGGCTGCTGTTCGCTGTCATTGGCATAGCCATCGGAGTCAATTTCTGCGTCCTCCTCGACTGGGCTTACATCGAATCTCTACCGAGCGATATCCTAGGGAAGCAAGCCTTCCACCCAAAGCCATTCGCGCCGCTACCGCATGGAGCCAACTGGCAAGGCGACAATGGGCTGGACTTCTGGACCTGGAACACTACGACACAGTTCAAACAGATAAAATACTCTGAATGGAGAGACGGCTCCACAGACGAATGCGCTCTCTTCCCAGTGCATCTGCTCTCGAAGGTTCAGGTCATCCTAAAGACCGGATCAGCAGACGACAAATCACGAACGGATGCTCAGCTCTCAACAGTCATAAAGTGCATCTCCAATGTTTTGATCGTCTCAGATGGCAATCATACCTATGGTCGCGACCACCGAACTATCGACGTTCTCGCAGACTTGCCACCGAACACATACCTGAAATCAGAGGACTACGTCGTTTACGAGACGCAGAAGAACGCAAGTCGCCAGGGCACGAAGCTACAACAGGGTCATGAAGGTTGGAGGCTTGACAAGTATAAATTCCTACCGGAAGTGCAAAAAGCGATTGATCACAACAAGGCGGCTGAGTGGTACGTCTTCCTGGAGAGCGATACATACATCTTCTGGGACAATGTCTTCCGTCTTTTGGAGAACTACAATAGCTCGCTGCCTTACTATTTTGGATCGCCTTCGCCCGGACGAACGTACCATTCTGACGCGCAGCCTAACGTGAAGAAACAAGTGTGGTTCGCGTACGGAGGCGCCGGCTTCATACTTTCCCAAGCCGCTGCGCATCGACTCGTTGATCGCCATCGCAACGCCTTCGGTCTCAAGGGTCCTCGTCTCACCACAGAATACAAAGAAGACATCAGGGCCGATTGTTGTGGCGACAGCATACTAGGGTGGGCGCTGCACGACAAAGCCGGGATCGATGTCAGCGGTCTATGGCCCATGTTCAGCCCCCATAGACTCGAAAACATTCCCTTTGGTAAAGACCACTGGTGCGAGCCCGTCATCAGCCTACACAAAACCGATCCAGATCTCTACAAAGACCTTTGGTCATGGGAGAACGAATGGAAAGCGAAGAGTAACCTTCCTATGCGCTATCGCAACCTGTTATACCGCGCCCTGCTCTCCGCCTTGCAAGGCGAATACCCGCAGCGCGAGAACTGGGACGCAGCCTTCGACGCGGGGTTTCAGCTCCCAGATAACTCCACGGTCCATACGAGCCTCGATGCTTGCAGAGTTGGGTGTACTGAACACGACGAATGTATGCAGTACACCTGGCATGGGCGACATTGCTACTTTGCCAAGGCATTGTATATTGGTCGTGCGAAGCAGCCGGATGGTCATCATGACCCAGAGGACAGGAAGTACGTTAGTGGCTGGGATAGGTCGAATATGGACACTTGGAACTTTGGAAAGACGTGCGCAGAGGGGCCGCATTGGGTGAAACCAAGCATCGAGCGGAGGTACTGAAAAATAATGGGTCGTGATTGGAACGTGTGCTACTGGCTACTTTTCATATCCGTCATTAGGCAAACAGTTCCCGTGATTTCTACACAATCATCAGGCGCCGCCACGATGCAGTCTCGAACAGCTTCTTCCACAAATCCGATGACGAGTTTCTACATAGTCCGACCCTTTCGAATAATTCCGGGCTAGCCTGACTTTTTCTTAGTATCAAGACAGCGTAGTCTCGATCATACGAAGACCGGTATATCTGGCTTGTGTCGCCAATGACTATGCAGTGAACCTTTCCACCAACAGGAAGCACCGTATTGTACGGCGCAGACTGGAACGGTAAATCCGCATCGAAGATCGCCCATGCTTGATCTCGTCCAACTCTGTAGTGTGCGCCGTGAAAGAAACCGTCATACTGGCATTCCACTACCTTGCATTCCACATCCAAGTACCCGCTCTTGACACGACCTGTCGGTTCCTGGCTTGCCGCAACGCAGTCATACCCACGCACAATGAAGTTGCCGGCTTGTGGAACAGATTCTAACCAGGCGATACCGCCTTCGACTGACGCCCACGACCATGAAGGCGCACGGTATTGAATGGGCCGACGAGCCAGCAATGGCGCATGTTCCATGTCACCTCCTTCCAAATGGGAGCCTTGAGCAATCCACCAACCGCTTGAATCGCTAGAAGTGGAGCGATTGGCAGAGTACCAGCAAAGGCCTGCAAGAAGATCTCCTGACCATAGCCCAGCAAGGTATGTAGAGCCCAGAATATACTGCGCTCGTTGCGCGAGGCCGGACAGAGCTGTGAGGCGATCTTCGTCATAAGCCAGTTTCTTGGATGTATAACGGACAACAAGATCATACCACACCTGATACGAATTCGGAAGATCAGGGTTATTAGACGGGTTGTCTGGTACCGCGCGACCCGGCGAGAGTAAAGCTGCCGCAAAGTGCTTTCTTCCGTGCAGCAGATGGTTTCCCGTAGTACAACAGCACCACGTTTCGCGAGAGCATTCCCAGACAATCTCCTTATGCGTGAATTGAGCAATGCGCGGGCTCAAGAGATGTTCCTGGAAAGTCCACGATCGGCTGAGTAGAGGATATGGAATAGAATCGTCGTTGGCCGCAGCTTCATCTTCTGTGTTCTCATCATGAAACTTGTTCCTAGCCTCCACGCTCGATAGTCTTAGCTGTGTATGAGTTGTGGCTTCACGGTAGATCAGCGATAAGGATGGATCGCCCGATAGCGGCTGACGTCGTGCGCATCTCAGCTCTAATTTGGAGTTTTTCGCGAATAGACCCGCGTTCGCATTCGCTGCACTAGTTCCTGCAATCGTGAGAAATGCTCTGCCATAAATGTCGGCCATTTGAGCTGCCTGCACCTCCCAGTCATCCAGATCATCCTGAATTATGCACAATGAGTCGATCCAGAGATACCGAATGTCTAGATACTGCGCTACGGTGATGGCATCACAGAATGTCTGTGGTAATGTAGTAAGTGGTATCCCAGTCTTGAATTCTGCAAGCGTCGCGGACATTGTTCGTACTGGTTGACTGTCGCCCCAACAGTGGCTTAAGCAGATGTAATCGCCAGCCTGTGATTCAGGCTCGTGGAGAATGAGGTCTTGCCCTTCGCGTAGAGGCGCTAGATCCAGTACTCGTTTTGGCAGATACGTCGTGCCTTGTACCGCGCATTCCGGGTGGTCTTGCGCGCATTTCTTGATCCACGTAGGTATATTACACAAGAAGCCCTCGGAACCAATGTTGGGATCCCTAGGAGGAGCCGGGAGACTCTTTGAGTGTGCGAGGATCGGATATCGTGGTAGTTGGTCAAGAGGATCTGCATCCGACAATTAGTTGCTGTTTGTTCAGTGCCATGTCGAATCAGTCCGTACCTTCAAAGATGTCGAGGTAGCATGTACCGTAAATCCAACCACTGGGTCTATTCGATACGTACACCGTAGGAAGACTTGCGCTTTTGTTCTGCACCACAACTTCGTCAACTTCCGGTTCTGGGCGATATGAACTTGTGACATATGCTCGTGCAATTTCGAAAAGCAATGCGCACAGTTGACATCCGTGTTCCAGGCTTTCCTCAAGCTTTAGAGTCGTCGAGCTTCGCTCAGCTGCAAGACTTCGACAAGATGGACACTCGGACGCTGCGATCGTAGGTGAGAGGGATGTCACAATCTCGGCATTGTCCGCATCATACTTCGTAATGTTCAAGGCCGTGGGTTCAGTAGAGCGGTCTGGAAAAGTTCCGCCGTTGTCATAGGCTTCGTTGATATTACCCTGGATCCTGACCACCTCTTCTTGAACCTCCTGGACCTGGGCTGCTACAGCGTCGCTTCTGTTTGCAGTGCGCTCAATGCCGGTCAATCGTGCCTCCATACTATTCAGTCTCTCTACTATGCTCAGTAACCTTGTGTCCAGTTGATCGATTCGCTTCGTAGTTGGAGACTCGTCCTCAATAGGCTTTGCGCCATGTTCTGCGCCCAGGGTCAACTTGTTTGCATGATCACTTGTACTGAACAACTCCTCCTCTGACGACAGACTTCCTAAAGCTGGAAGAGACCCAGTTCCACGGTCGCACTGGGCTAGTTGATGCGGCATTTGGGCATCGGATAGATCATAGACCAGCATGGCGGGCTGGGCCATGTCCGGTGGACGAGGTGATTTGAACGTGATTTTGAGCATCGTGAATACAAATGTGGGGGCTAAAGGCAGAAAACAGGCTGCGCAAAGTTAAGCGCTCTTTTTCAGAAGGCGATGTCTGTAATATATGGGGTTGACAAACTCGAAGTAAGACAACCAGCACCACCAGGATAAAGTGAGCATGTGGACGACGAATCTGACCAAGAAGCCAAACAAGACAACATCTTATAGTTCCCCGTTGCTGCAACGTACGCACCTGTTCTGCAATCAATGCAAATGCCTTCGATCATCACAGCTGAACAAGTGAGTGCTATCCAATGAAACCCTGTTGGCTTGCTCAGCCTGCTTCCATCCATGTATTCGACACCTTATGCAGTAATGAGAAGCGAGCCACCGTGAGCGCCGATGTTGCCTGAGGCCAATGCAAGTAGCGAAAAGATGCCCTGTGCCGCGTGGTGGGTGTACCAAGGCTGACGAGCATTGCATAGCGGCGTCGTGACGGTACCGATCCGCGAGTGGCGACCTGCCCATAACATAGAACGGCCTGTACAGCATTTCGCGCACAATAGATGTAGATGAATTAATGCACAGATGCGCAACATCACCGCCACCATGATTTGAAGACGTCGACGCAGTGTCGTTTCGCCGACCCAACCTTGGAAGCCTGTGTTGTGGATGAACAGCGAGACCAGACAGCCATAGCAGCCAGCAGCAGGCTACGAAGGAGCTAGTCACTTTTGAAGACCATACCCCAGGCCGAATCCGGTGTAGCCCTGGGAGTTACTAGACAAGCTCCTTCGCACATCAGGAACCTGTGTACAACTCAGTCATTCAACTCCTTGTTCATGTACCGTTCAGCGACGTCGAACATCTGCGCGCCTCTCCAGGCAACAATGAAGACTCGCCGTGACGCCTATTCGCTGTCGCGAAAGTGTCTCGCAGTTTTCGCATGAAGTTGCATCGAAAAATTGTAATGAAAACGCGGCGATAGGAAAGAACACGGCGCGAGAGCAGCCATTGCGTTGTGACGGCGGCCGCTGCCTGCATACGTAATCAGGCACAAAAGGGATGGCGGGGTACATTCACGTGACGGAGGTGGAGGATTGCAGCGTCCTGCTCACACCGGAGCAAAGGAGTAGGGAACAGCGTCGGATGCGCAACATCAAGGCCGCAATTCGAAGTTGTCGAAGACAGGAAAGGAAGTCCGCGATGTTCATCCCTGCCGCATGCTTGCACCATTTTGTGGAGGCATGGTGGCCCGATTAGCTGCGGAATGTCTTGCGCTAGCGTCTCCGTATCAGTATCTGCAGTCAGCAGGCAGCTCGCATCAAAACTTGTGACGGCGCTGCAACGGCCCAGGCAGCGACCTAGCGGACATGTCAGCTCTCCAAGCCCGGCGGGAGTAGTGTGTCGGCGTTCGCATGTTGAGATGCGCGCCCGATGCTTCGGCACTAATCAAGATTGGCGGCCGAGGCAGGGTCTTTTTTGAGCGGTGGACCCTTCTTTGATCACACAACATCCATGAATCATCCTTTCGACTTTTCCATCTCGACCAATTACCGCCGTCCCAGCGCCAGGAAACGCGTTCCAGATGCAGATGGCGTCATGCGGGTCGACCGTTAGTCCATCTGTTCCTGCCATCGCGGTGCGGCGCCTTACCACAACCGAAACGGTGGATGGTGAGGCATAGATTTCACGCTTTCGGAGCGTGGCATGCGCGAGCCTAAACCGCGGGCTGCCGACTGTTTTCCTTCTTCCACGTTTTGCATACTCAACTTTACGACTGCAAAGACAACATACGAGATCCCTACCTCGACTCGTCATCCTGCTTCGCGCGCATCGCTTGCATCCTCCCGCGAAGCGAACACCCCGCTATAGACATCGCAGCAGCGACGCGACGGTACTCGGCCCGCCAATAGCCTGCTCAGCAGCCCACACAGTCGCGACCATGGCGACAACGCCCATCGAACACCCCTCGACTGTCAGCAGTCTGCCCACGCGCCAGAAGCCTATTCCATACTCCTTCGCCAATGGCCGGCGCACCCCGCTGTCGTCCATCCTCCCTCCCCTCGTCTTCGGTACGGCCACGTTCAACTCCCAGTACAACACCGACCCCTTCGCGCTCGACACAACTGGTCTCGTGACCTCGGCGCTCACACACGGCATTCGCGCTTTCGATACCTCGCCTTACTACGGCCCATCCGAACAACTGCTCGGCGATGCGCTTGCGACACCATTCGTTCGGGAGACGTTCCCGCGCAACTCATACATGATCCTGACCAAGGTCGGGCGGACAGGGAGCGAAGAGTTCGACTACAGCAAGGAGTGGGTGCGCCAGAGCGTCAACAGGAGTTTGGAGAGACTACACACTGAATACCTGGACATGGTATACTGCCACGACGTCGAGTTCGTGAGCCCGGCGGAGGTTTTGGAAGCAGTCAAGGAACTCCGCCGCCTTAGGGACAAAGAGGGCACAGTTCGGTATATTGGTATCTGTGGATACCCACTGGACGTGCTGGGCGACATGGCTGAGCTCATCCTCCGCGAGACCGGCGAGCCACTCGATGCGGTGCAGTCCTACGCCAACTTCACGCTCCAGAACCAGTCGCTCGCCGGCCCGCGCGGCATCTTGCGCCTGAAGAATGCAGGCGTCGACGTCGTCCCGAACGCCTCCATCCTTGGTATGGGCCTCCTCCGACACGACGGCATACCCGTTGGTGGCCTCGGAGACTGGCACCCTGCCCCATCTTCTCTCCGCGAGGCAGTGCGCAAAGCGAGCCACTTCTGCGACGACTACGGCGAGCGCATCGAGGTTATCGCCATCCGCTTCGCGCTCGAGACATGGATATCTGCTGGCGCGCTGTGTGGATCCCGCGGAGATCCCGCATCGGGCGTGCCCTGGACCCACGAGTCCATCGACGACGTCGGTGGCTCCAAGCTGGGTGTCAGTGTCATCGGTGTCTCGCGCGCACCCGAGTTGGAGAAGACAATGCTCGTTTGGCGATCTATTCTCGATGGATTGGAGGGCGGCAAGGAGACTGCGGTTCAAGCAGGCCGGTGGTACCGCGCGTGGGAGTGGAGCAGGAACCGCAGGAAGGCAGTGCAGATCCTCGCCGAGGGGGTCCAAGAGGTGCTCGGTGATGGCTTTGGCTACGAATGGGCGAGCCCTGAACCGGGGTTCGTCAACAAGAGGGTGAAGGATGCGAAGAAGGCAGCGCAAAGTGATGCGCCTGCGGCGTGGTTGACGCCCGCTGCGAGCCCGGAGGCGGTGCCGGTGAAGGATGCAGGCGAGGTCGCCGAGGACAAGTCTCTGCCGCTACGGTAACAGTAGAGATGATGCACATGTATATAGTGAATTGGATCGCACATCTCCTAGAGTCCAGTCACTCCATCGTCACCTTTTCGCTTCGTCAACGCGACAGTAGAGAACACTAAGCGACCCTTCTACCCAGACAACAAGTCACCCGCCTATTTGTTCGCCACAACCCCGACCGCGGACGTCTTACTCTGCCTAATCATGCTCTTATACCCCTCAATCTGCGCAACACCCACAACAACAAGCTCCTCCACCGTCTGCGAATCCAGCCCCTCCTTCCAAAGCATAACCCATCCGTTCGCCTGTGCGTGATCAACCTGCGCAACCATAACAAGACTCGTCCCATCCCTCAACTCCCACGACGCCGCGCCCGCAACCTCCATACCCGTGCCCTTCCAATGCAGTTTCCCCAGTCCACCGCCCGCAGCAACTCTCTGCTTCGACGTGCTAATCTCGATGCAATGCCCATTGCGGAGAGGAAAGTCGATAGTCGCGGAGAACATGTGGTAGTCGATGAGCGCGACTTCTTAGGCGGAGTTCATGGGCGAGGTGACGTGCATCTTGCTTCCCTATGCCCTACCCTAGAGGACGTCTTAGGGCTACAGGCCCTAAGCAAATTTTAGTAAGAGCGATAAGGCTAACTTTATTAGGATAGAGAATAACGGACCATTATTGTGCAAATTCTGGTACGTGCGCAGCAATGTTAGGGTGCGATATTAGTAACCCGCAGTGCAATATTAGCAGGCCTAGGTACAATATTGCTAGGTGCAAGACTAATATTAGCGGCAGCAGGTGCGATATTAGTAGGTCTAGAAGCAATATTAGATACCTAATATCGCCTATTTTAATCTAAAATAGCGATTAAAATTATTCTAACTAACGTAGGTGCATGCTTCGCGGTCCAGCATGCTTCGCGGTCCACCTGTGCTAAGACCCCACCAAAACTACCTCTACCCTATAATACATAATCAACTACACTAGATAGAACTACTAAAGGAAGCTAGAATACAGACTACGCTTTAGGCTATTAAACAAGACGCGACTCTCTTATTGCGACGCGCTACAGCTACCTACAACGTCTCTTATACGACTCTACGTGTCACGAGAGGCTACGAGTAGTAAATTCAGAGCTTACTTTAGAAGCTTAATCGTTATGCTACGTACAGTACTTAGGCGTAATACAAGACGTTGCGTAAGGAAACAGCAGCAGAATGTTTAGGCAGTAAGGAAATATAGGCAGAGCCTATGCGCGCGGCGCTTAGGCTCTAGCTAGCTAATTAATAAAATCTAGGTGCTTAATAAGTACCTAGCGTTTGTGCGCACGTTTAGGTGTTAGAGAAACTACAGTAGTTACTATAACAGTACTCTAACCAATATAAGGCGACGGATTATGCACAATCCGCGCCCGATTTGGTATCGCGTTAGAGTTCGCTAACTAAGAAAGGAAATCTAGAGGGCATAATCCGTGCGCATAATCTGCGGGCTTTAACAGTATTGCAATGTACTAAAACTTACCTAGAAGATGCAAGATAACGCTGCAAATCTAGTGCATTCTTTAGAATACCTGCAGCTAGCACTGTTGTTAAGATATTTGTGCGTGAACTTTGGCTGGAGAGACTTGACGTTTCTTGCTGAAGTTAGAGCTTGTAACTTTTGACTACTGTGTTTGTGCGTACGATGAGCTAGTTCGCTAGATAAGCTACTCTACTAACATTAGACGATTGCATAAATAAGGCTGTAGAGCCACCTATAATAGCTATTATTACGAGATTTTATAAGGTTGTAGTAATTATATTATTGCGATAAAGTTGCGCTACTTATATTTACTTAGTAACTTAGTTGTACGCCTGTAGCGGGTTGTCTGAGTCGGGACGGCTAGTGCAGGCACCTTACCTTGTACATAAGATAGGTTAACAACGCCACGCTTCTAACGCTTCTGCTTTTAAGTAGAGCTTTGTAAGGCCTTACGCTTGCTGTTTTAGAGCTGTTGTATAGCTTTTTAAGAGTCGCGAGCTGCTTTTTTAGCTTTCTTTTTAGCCTCTTTCGCAGCTCTCTTCTTCTCTCTTACCTTCTTAAGTCTCTCTTTCTTAATACGCTTTTCTTTAGCTACCTAAAGCTTGTAGAGTCTTGCCTACTTCTTAAGGTATACCCTCTCGGCTTTCTGTACTTGTTTAAGTTGTTGTTAGTGTTATTAAGCTGCCTTATCGTCCCGAGCCTAACGGACCTTACGAGGAGACTAGAAGACAGCGCCACCGTAATACTTATAAGGCTTGTTGAGTTGTAGAGTGTAGAACTTCTTCTTCTGTCTCTTTCTAACGTTTAAAGCAGCTCTTAGGCCCCTTAACTTGCTCTTAAGGATACTTGCCTAGGCTAAGATGTGGTGTAAACTTCGGCTAAGCTTTTTAACGTTCTTATCGCTTTAATCTTTTACTGCACGACGTATAAGACTCTCTAATTTAACCTAATCCTCACCGCTAAGTACAGAAGTAGAGCTCTTGTCTGAACTAGAGTCCCCCTAACTAAACCGGCTGAGTATAACTTCAGGATTGGGTAGGTAGATCTCTGTCACTTTAAACGCTCTCTTAATAGCTTAAGGCTTGAAGGCAGCCGTCTAAGACCTCTAGAAGAGCGGAAAGAAGTCTCCTTTTGTTACTAGAAGGATGCCTTAGCTGTTCTGAAGGTAGTTTAAAAGCTCTGTTAAGTAGAAAGTCGAAAGAGGTTTAAATAACGCTATATCTAGAGGTTAAAGCGTGTAGGTTGAACGAGGGGGAAATATAGCTAATAGAATCTTGTTGTCGTTGCAATAATTAATAAAGTCTATAGTAAGATAGGATCTATAGCTGTTAAGGAGGAGTAATTAGTACCTAGAGCGAGCGTGCTGTCTGGTCTCCCTGTTAAACACCTCCTTTAACTAGACAAGCCCTTATTGTTATTGGTCTAGCCTAAAGAAGACAAGGAGAGAAAGACGGAGTGCTTTAATAGATTAATTGCCTTAGCCTATAAGGATTGTAGGGCTCCCGCGGTCGACTAGAAGATAAGAGATAGCGACAACGCTGTACTGTCTAAGAAAATACAGGCTAGAACTATTACCTATTAAGTATTGCTATCCTAGAGGGCTAAAGTAACCTCTTTTTAATTATATATTGCCCTGTCGAAGGCCCGTTTTGAACGCCTAAGCGTACTAATTTGGAAGCCCTTCTCGTCTATATTAAAGATATTAGAGGGCTCTATATTGTAATCCTTTATCTTATTGTGTAACAGCTTAAAGTACAACCTATACTTTGCTTCTAAGTCTGCCTTGTAACGTTTGCGGTTTATCCTAGTAGTCCAACGCGTGACGAGACGTCTCTACTAGCTAAGAAGAACGCAAATCGACGTATTATAAGCCTCGTAGGTGGTAAACGTCTCTTAGTAAGTGTCGTAATGTATTGTATAAGCTCCGTCTCTTGTTGTAGATGTAGAGAGAGGCGTTTGAGCCTATATAGCCGCGTTTAACCTCGGTGTCTTTGAGCGAGCGTCGTCCGGTCTATATTGTATCTTTTTGCAACTTCGCGATAGCTAAAAGATGCGCCTTGCTACGCGATTTGATATCTTTAATTGCTTTCTTAATCGGGTCTATGGTCGTGGAGTTATAACGCGTTTTGTATAGGGTAGTAGTGTTAGTGGGGTAGCTTATTTAGCGAACTGGCTTATCGTACGCACAGACACGGCACTGTTACGATGTTTAGGCCGGTCGACACAAAAGAGGTGGGAAAGAAAGAGGGAGAATTAGATCTTAAAGTTATGCTATCTACCGCAAGGTGCTGCTACCTGTAAGTTCTTAAAGCCTCTACTCCGCCTCCGCCTAAAGCTCTTAAACAAGGGAATTATACACAAAACGCTAGCGCAGAACTAGGCCCTCGCACTCGCCCGCGATGTATCTATCCTACTTATTAACCTGCTTAAGACTAGAAAGACACCGAACTACGCTACTACTACTAACAGCTTGGAACAAGATAAATGCGCGTTAAGGGCGATTATAGAGGACCTTGTTGCCGTAGGCGCGATTAATGTAAGCCTAGATGCGATCGCTATTCTCTAACTTGCTAACGAGCATGCCTTCCTTATTGTTGTAGACGATAGGGTAGGTGCGCGCAGAATTAGCGAAGATAAACTTGCCGGGGGTGCGGTTGTAGTTGTCGGGAAGCGTAGTATTAGGCAGGGAAGGGAGGGAGCGGAGTTCGGCGGGAGTTGGCATATCAAAGTTAATTGCGTCCTAGAGACAGAGTTAGCTTGTTGCGTGTTAGTAAAGCAGCGACGTAAAGGTACATACACTGAGGCTAACCTTACTAATTAGCTTATAGTGTAGGCCTTGGACACTATTAGTGGATAGAGTTCTAGAGGTTAAGGCGTTAGAGAGGTATGCCATAGTAAGAGAAGTGTGCTGGAATTGTGTTGATGTAGAGAAGTTGTAAAGTTGCAACAAAGGAGCAGCAGAAAGGCGCTAATATATACCTAGAGAAGCACGAGCTACTTGAATAAGAAGAATAGTAAAGTAGAACAATCTGCAGTGAAGGCAGCAGCTAATCCGAGCGTTAGATTAAGCAAGATATCTGCAGTGAAGTTGAAATGACCGCAGCGACGTCGCGCGGCAAGTCCCGCAGAACTTTACATGCGGATCTAGCAGATCTAGATGTAAAGGCGGCAGCTAATTAGAGCGCTAGGTTGCCGGAGATGCCTGCGGCGAAGGTAAGTTGACTGTCGCGGTGACGCTGAGCTGATTGTTGCGGTAACGCCGAGTTGCTTGTCGCTGTAAAGGTAGGTTGATTGTTAAGGTAAAGTCGCGCAGTAAGCCCCGCCAGCCTTCACGTGCGGATCTAGCAGATCTAGATGTAAAGGCAGCAGCTAATTGCAGCGCTAGGAGGATAGACACGTCTGCGGCGAAGGCGACTTAGTTCTTGCTGCGACGCTAAGCTCGTTCGTGCTATAACGCGGAGTTGACTGTTAAGGTAAAGTCGCGCAAACGTAGG